AGATGTTCGGTGCAGCAGGTGAAAGGCCCCACCTGGGAAGCCCATGTCCTGTAGCAGAACACCTGCGCTCGAGCCCCGGCTCCACTTCCCGTCCCAGCTTCCTAGGAATGCAGCAGCCGATGGTTATAGCACTTGCATTCCTGCCACCCACGTGGGAGACCCGGGACAGAGTTCCTGGCTTTGGCCTAGCACAGCCCCAGCTGTTGGGGGCATGTGGGGAGCCAACCAGCACGTGGAAGATCTGTCTCTGTAACTCCCTGTAGCTCTGTCTGTGCCTTGAAAATAAATAAAAATGTAAATATATATATATATATACACACACACAAAACCCATCAGAATGACTCCAGATTCTATGAGTTCACCCAATGGAGAAGTTCGGGGCTGGGCTCTAGGAACTAGGAGTCAAATTGATAAAGACCTGTGTGGACAGATGTGGAATGAAGTCTTGCTTAGAGTAGTGGAGCGGGGTGGGGGAGAGGAGAGAGAGAATACACAAATGTCCATCAACAGGATAGTGGCTAAAGACTCGGAGCCCATGTGGGCAGGGAGGATCGTGCGGCCGCATTGACCTGAGAGCTGGGGCTGTGTGCTGTGGTGGTGAGTGGTAAGAGCCGAGTTTGAAAGAGCAAGCACCAACTTCAACCGTCTGTTTGCAAAGACCGAGCGTGGAGAGCGATGGGTGCACACGCAGCAGGCTGTGAGGCTGGTGGCCAGGGCTGGGGAAGGGGAGCAGGGGAATAATATAGGAGAAGCGTCTACAGCAAGAATAGGAAAACATTTATGGAAATGCAGATTAGGGAAAAGCTACGCATGAATTCCAAAAATCTGTGTGCCATACTCATCTTTTACGTCTGCTTTTCCACAAGCTTTTTGAAGTATCCTTGTATAATGTTAAGTGAGACGACAGATGTGACATTCTCTCTCTAACGTTACCGTAGAATACCCTGGGATTTTTAGAATGAAATGTTTAACAGTTCTTTGAGAGGCCGGGAGAAAGAGAGAGAGGAGGCTGCGCTTTGCTGGCTCACGCCAGCTGGGGTTGGATCGGGCTGAGCCACAGCTGAAACCTAGAGCCAGGGTGGGGGGGGGGGTGGCTCAGAGCCTAACTGCTTGAGCAATCACCCCTGCCTCTGAGGCTCTCCATTAGCAGGAAGCTGGAGTCAGAAGCCAGAGCCGAGACTCGAACTCCAAACTCCAACGTGGGAAGCAGGCACTTTACTGAGTGCCTTAACCACCAGGCTGCGTGTACGCCCCCAGACCATTGTAACGGTCCCCGTTCAGACCCATCCTGCCTCCCCGAGGTCCCTCCGAATACCCTCCTCCTCCTCTTGACTCACAAGGTCCCCAGGGATACGGCCCTGGATTGCCCCTTCCTTCTCCCCGACACCAGCCCGACCTCTTGCTGGCCTCCTCATGCTTCCAAGAGCCGTGCTAACTTTACCAACTCAAAGTCGAAAATGGCACCAAAAAAATTAGTTTTCCCTCGGATCAGGAAAATGCATTGCTTTAAAATAGTTTTCAAAGTGTTTTCTTTGAAATATTATCCTTAAAAAGGCCCAGATAGTTTACAAATGAACTTCTGAGTCCTCTAACTCCAGAGGCGGCCTGGGCTCCTGCTACTTCTGACAGTTAATCCCGTCCTCCAACCTTATTGAAGAAGGCTGTTGACGAGCACTCCTTTCAACTCTGGAGTTCTGTTGAGCGATCGTGTCCAAACAGCTTCGTTGCAGGCACCATCGTGTGAGGGGCCGTGGGATGAATCCTTCCTCCAGGTCTGTTGGTTAGGGCTCATGCATGCACCGTGGGAGGCCACCGTACTCTGCACCACTGGCTTCCCTCACACTCAAGCGCTTGTCGGGGCTCGGTGCCCTTTGAGAACTTGACCATGATGCCGATCTACCCCACACTTGCTGCCCCTATTATCTCACTCTGCTCTTTCCACATACAGCCCATCTCTCCAACCAGATGGTTAGCCCTTGGAGGCCAGACCCCCTATAGCCATCTTCTGTGCATCTCACATGTAGCCAGCTATGTAGCTGTCATGCGACTCGTGCCCACTGGATTGATTTGATTTGATAGTATCAAATGTACCTGTGAACCATGCCTACCGCCAGCTACGCATGGGATTCCCGGGCGTGTGTGCCTTGGTAGAGAGGGTACTTATTTGTTTTTATTTTTATTTTTTTGACAGGCAGAGTGGACAGTGAGAGAGAGAGACAGAGAGAAAGGTCTTCCTTTTGCCTTTGGTTCACCCTCCAATGGCCGCCGCAGCCGGCGCGCTGCGGCCAGCGCACCACGCCGATCCGATGGCAGAAGCCAGGTGCTTCTCCTGGTCTCCCATGGGGTGCAGGGCCCAAGCACTTGGGCCATCCTCCACTGCGCTCCCGGGCCACAGCAGAGAGCTGGCCTGGAAGAAGGGCAACCAGGACAGAACCCGGCGCCCCGACCGGGACTAGAACCTGGTGTGCCAGCTCCGCAAGGTGGAGGATTAGCCTAGTGAGCCGCGGCGCCGGCTGAGGGTACTTATTTGAGAGCTAAACAAGAGAGCTTGACTTCAGGTTCCCTATTGTGTACCACGAGAGCAATCCCTTCCGGAGGTCAAAATCCACCTGCCAGCTCGGCCTTTACCACTGCCGGAGTTCAGCTCTTTGGGACTGTGGGTGCGAGGCCCCTGTTCCCTGCGCAGCAGGGGTCACCTTCAGCTCCTGGGGGCTGCCCCATCCCTTCACACACGGCCCCCTCAAAGCAGCAACAAGGGGCCGAGCCGGCTGTCTCATGCCTTGAATCTCGCCGACCTCCCCTCCTGCCTCCAGCGTAGGAAAGCTCTTTGGCTTTTCAGGGTTCGGTGATCGGACAGACAACCCCTCTGTGCTAAGATCCCCCGTGGCGAGGGACACACAGCAGCCCTGTGGGCCACCGTCAGCATGGTCACAGTCTCCAGAACTTGTGGCACGAGGTCTTAGGGGGACCATTCTTAGAAATCCCACCGCCCCAACACCAGAATGTGGGGATGGGTAAGGTTGCTGATAAGGTTCTTCCAGGTGCAAAGTGCTCACCTGTAACCACCTCCAATGATGCCCCCTGGTGTCGCCTCCTGATTTTCTCTCATCAGACTTCATCACATTCCTTCCCATCTCATCAGACAAGGCCCCACCTGGGTCTCCGCGCTCCTTCCTCAACCACCCCACCCTGCTTGGTGCCTCTCCTCACCCCCCCTCCCCGAGCCAGAGTCAGCTCCTCCCCCCGCTCACTCGCACATCACGCTCTGGGCCTTAGCACCACTTGGATGCCGTTGTACTTCCCCTATTTCTTCTTCCTCCAACAATCCTGCGAGTTAGGCGTTATCATCTCCATTGTGCAGGTTAGAAAACAGAGGCTCAGAGCAGTTCAAGAACCAGCCCAAAATGAAACAGCGGGCAAGTGGCAGGGTCTCCGGTGCATGGCCACGTGCTCCTGGAACAGAACACTACACAGCAGGAAGAACGAATCACAAGCAGACACAGCGTCCAGCGTGAGTCTCACAAACACAATATATGAAAAAAAATAATGTGTGGGAAGCTTAGACGCGGGTGGCCTGTTGCTTGGGAATTATATGTAGAAGCAAGACGGTGAGGAAATGCAAGAGGAGGCTAAGCACGGAAGTCCTAAGTCACCTGGGAGGGGAGAGGGCAGGGAGCCCGAGCAGAACGAGGTACATCCGGGGTTTCGACTGTTCCGGCAAGTTCTCCCTCCTGGAGGAAGTCCGCGTTCACAATCCTGAATACTGCTCTTTAAGGCTTTTGTCTCGTGTGAGGCATTTTGTAATAACTATTAAACCAAGAAACACCATAATGTTTGCATCACATAATATTAGATGGAAAGAGCAGGAAGCAAAGTTGAATATGACTCTACTACCAACTTTGTAAGACAGCAAAAGCAAAAGATTAAAATAAAAAGACCAGCAGCTAAGACACCAAAACTGTTGCAAGTCTGAGGATGAGTCTATGGTCTTGTTTATAGTTAACACTTTATTATGTTTTCCAAATTTTTGTAGTGGGTACACATTGGTTTTAGAATCAAAATCCACTGTTACTTATTTTTTAATGCGTTTGTTCAGCTTAAACACCAGGGTAGGGCAAATTTTAGCCTCAAATCAGGAAAATAATTTATTTGGCGTCTACTGCAGACACTTCCATACTAAACCTTAAAGGAAACTCTTCATATGAACTTGGAGTTGGACAGACCCAAGTTCAAGTCCTCCGGCCCACCCCTCCCCAGCACTTGAGTCTCCATTTTCATAACAGCACAGTGGTGACCACAATGCCTTCTCTCCATGTGACTTTGCAATCAGCAGCAAGTGCACCTGACAGCCTGGCTCCAGTCCCCAGGCGGAAGAGCTGGGCACCACAAGGTGCCCGTGGTGTGGGAGGGTGGACAGTGCTGCCTGCACAATGTCTGATGCCGTAAAGCAGGAGGGTCTCGGGCTGCAGCCAGTGGACGCCTGTGCCCGTGTGGCCTGAGCAGCGTCCGGAGGAGGTCGTGAGCATCTTCAGATGTTTGAAGCATCATGGGTAGGGAGGACACGAGGTAGCACTGTGCCAGGAATGAGGAAGCCGCCATTCCCTGAGTGCTGGCACGTGCAAAAACTCACGTCGTCCTCACAGCAACCCTGCGGGGCGGGCACCCTGATTATCACCCCATTGTACAGATGAGGAAAGCAAGGCGTGGATCGGTGTCACGTCTCGTCCACAGCTGCATAGTGGGAAAGCCAGGGCTTGAAGCCAGTTGGCTCGTCCCCCTGTGCTGTCTGCAGACAGGTGTTGAGAACACAGAGATTCCTTGGGCAGCCTGCATGCTGGCATGGAGTGCATGTGGCAGGATGACCACCTGCCGCGGCATCCTTGTGGGGATCCCTGGCGACCCCAGAGGAGTGAGTGCACTTCCTACGGAACGCAGCGCGCCCACAGCCCGAGGGGAAGCGCTCGGAGGTGCTGACGATGATCTCTTCTTGTCTCTTGCAGCTCACCGCCCCACACTTCCCCGTGGTGGTCAAGCTGGGACACGCCCACGCCGGGATGGGAAAGGTAAGAGGGACAGATCCGAGGCTGGCAGTGGCCACACCCACGGCTCACCCAGACTGCCCGTTCCCGCTCCTCCTCCCTCCCTTAGCACAGGCACCCACCCGGGTCGCAGGGTTACACAGAGTCCCCAGGACGTGGGGAGTCCTCCCCTCCCCAAGTGCACCTTGCGCTGGGCTCCTGTTGTCTGGAAAGTTCTCCAGCTCAGCCCACCTGCCAACCCTGACCTGGAATTGCTGGCTCCACAGCTCCGTGTTTGTGGCTTAAGAGGAACAGATGGGAAGCATTTCGTAGCCTCAGATTCTTGTGTGAGGGGGTGCTGTCGACGCCTCCGCAGTTGCACTATAAGCTCACGTCATAGCGATTCTCTGTCACCTGCAGAGCCAGGGAAGTGGCAGATACACCTGACTGCATGCGCGAAGCCCCAGGAGTCGGTCAGCTTCTGCTCAGGTAGAGAATACATTCTACACAGCTGCGAACAGCCTGACCGTCTGTAGTGGTCAGACCCTTCCAGTTGCAAGTGTTAAAACCTGGCTCAAATTAGCGAGAAAAAGGTGATCCTGGTGTGCGTGGTCAGGACATCCGAGGGAGTCCTCGACAGATTCGGGCAGAGTTGGGTCCAGGAGCTCAACTGATCCAGTCGGAGCTGGATCGATCTCTCTATGAATTTTGGCATTTTCTTCACATAGTCAAAACCGCTGTGGGCAGCCCACTCTTATCCCTAGGCTGACTGTCCCCAAAGAATACAGACCTTCCTCCTTCCCAGGGTCTCTCTGAACAGCCTTGTGGAGCCTTGGGCTGTGGGATAGGTCCACCCCAACAAGGGATGTGGGTATGGCTCAGCGTCAACAAATCATGGGCAGCATAGTTCTATGGGAGAGAAAGATCCCAGTCCTGGAGGTGGAGAGCAGGGCGGGGGGCAGGAGGTGGCCTCTCCAGTCCACCCATCTAGACTCTAGCTCACACAGAACCACACGGGAGCATGTGTTCCATTGCAGGAACCTCAGCCCAATATGAGGGCCAACACTGTGCGTGCTGGAACCCCATGGGACCCAGCAGACGCCTTGCTTTGAATAGTCGCGCCCGGCCTCTCCACCTGTTCTCCGCCTGTTACACCTGCACCGCTTCTTCCCACCTCAAGTCCATTGCCTCCAGGCAGCGTGGAAAGGAAAGGATTAGGCATGTCTCACTGCTCTGGCATTTGTGAGAACGTGGGCCAGTTACTCTCGACTTCCTCCTCTGTCGAATGGCTGGTTGGTCTCATAACAGAAGTTAAAGTGCAACCTCCCCATGCATGCCATCTGCCTCAAAGTGCATGCCGTGAGGGCAGGGATTGCCACCTGCTGCCCATCACTGTCTTCCGGGACCCAGCAGGGCACCTGCTGCACCACAGCCTCTCGGGTTGACGGCTGAGTCCCTCTCAGTCACCACCCTGCGGCTGCCCCATCCTCTCTCCCCAGCTCCCTCCTCCAGCCCCTGCTGCTCCACCGATGCTGCCCTAGCCCAAGCCCCAGTGATCCTGTGTCACTAATTCAGCAGGCCCTTTTCTGCCTTGCCTGGATTGACCTCTCTGCGTCACTTAAAGCTATCCCATCTGTCCCCAAACTCTTCCTGCAGTGGCCTCCATGCAAGCTCACCCCTGGCTTCCTCCTGTCTTTCGGCTGCTGCCCCCAGCCCCCGGCTGTTCCATGAGCGTGTGCTGTCTGAGTGCTCTCCCTGACTCAGCCGCTGTCCACAGCCAGCCGCCCCCTGCCCAGGCTTTTGTTCCCGCCATGGGGCACCCAGCTCCTAGGCCCAGCTGCCTCCTCTACTTCCTTCCCCGCCTTGTTTCCTAGCGAAGCTTCAGACTCCGAATGTCCCAGGTTTGCCCAGTACTTTCCCAGACAGCTGGTCTCCCTCCTCCTCTTCATCTGCCTCCTCCTCCTGTCCTTCCATCTGTGGGGCCAGAACCACCCATCCCTGTGTTGCCTCAAAACAGCAACCTGGGAGCCATCACCCATCCTCCATGTCCAAAAGATCCCCTTGTCCGGTCAACTACCCCTTGCTACTGTTTCTCTAACAAGCCCCTGTCTCTCTACCCACTGCCACCATCTTGGTTGGACGTTCATAAAATTAGAAGATTCCCAAGAGTTAAATTTTGTCTCTGCAGCTTAAAATAATCCTGAACAGGAACTGAAAAGCAGGAAATTCTTGGCGACACTGATGCGATGCCCCAGGGTGGGGATGGCTCTCAGACACACGGGCCCAAAAGGGACTCCCAGAATGTGGAAAGGAGGGAACCTCTCCAAGGATTAAAAAAAAAAAAAAAAGACAGAAACTGAGGTTTGCAAAAACGCTGAGCTCTAGGGAAAAGGACTTTCTCCTTATGTTGGGTATGAAAAAACATGCAGAAACGGCCTGGACATATTGAGCAAATGATGTCATGTTCACGGCTGAGAGGGAGGAAAGCAAAATGAGTGCCTTCTCTCAAGAAAGGCATTGTCTGCCTGGAGACAGCAAAGGGCACTCCAGTAGCCAGGGAGCCCAGTGCAGTTCTGGACCCAACCGGGCCCTGCGGGTGCAGCTGCTGACCCGACCTCAGTTACACTCGGCTCCTTTAGTCCCATGCACCGATTGGTGCCTTCTCTATGCCGAGAGTCAGAGGAGCAATAGGACCTCTGGGGAGACAGTTACGTGCCTAAATAAGTATGGTGTGTGGTTGGGGTCAACCAGAAGGCTGTGTAGTGGGGCGGGGGGAGGGTGGAGAGGTTCAAAGGCAAGAGCTGGAAATCCTGTTTATGGGATGGAAAGATGGATCAGGCCCCTTAGAGGGGCTGAGGTTTGGTTGGGAAAGACAAGTGGATTCCATCAGTGGCTGTGGTGAAGACAGGCATGCCAGGGAGAGGAGCAGACGCACACTCGCGTGGAGGCATCGGGGATCTGCACGTGCTGGGAATGCCTGGAGACGGAAGGAATCTGAACAAACAGGAAATACTGGGAGACAGGAGACAGGCCAGAAGCCCTCGAATTGGAACACAGAATGGTGGTGTCAGGAGGTGCAGAAGCTGAAATGCGATGGGCTGCTATGCAGTGTGGGTTAGATGGGTTAGACCAGTGGTCGGGGGTTCTCCCTTTGCTCCTGTCTGGTCACTGTCTTGAGTTGTCAGGTAGAGGCCAAAGATGTGTAAAACACCCTAAAATGCAAAAGAATTGTGCAGCTGAAAATGCTGGTGGCATCAGGTGAAAACTTCTAGGCAAAACTGATTTCTTTTCCTTTATTGAAGGTTTTACAGACCAGAAATCAGAGACAGCATTAGTGATTATGGAATGCAGCACATTTCAAAGAACGTTCCAATCAATTGCTATTTAGGGTGCTAAAGTCTACTTTAGCCATATAGATTTGGAAAACTGTGTTGAAGTCAATTTTGGGTCCAGAATTTCAGAGTCACAAACCTGTTCAGATACATTTAGGGGGACAAAGACATGGAACAGTAGGCAGACGTTCCCAAAGTTACCTGGCCCCAAAAACATTGGAGCATTTTTTGTTGTTGAGATGGTTGTGTTTTTATTAATTTGTAAAAACTCTTCACATATTAAGAAAATTAATCCTCCGTAATACTTTGCAGCTATTTTTCCTCCTCTGACCATTTCACATTGATTTTTATTATTCAGCTTTTAATCATCTTAAAGTATTTTTGCTGTTTCCACCCTGGGAGATAGTAGAACAGCTAAGGATGGTGATCGGAATCCAGGTGACACAGTTCTTAGTTGTGAGAGCTCAGAGAAGTTACCCAGCCTCCCCTGCCTGAGCTACCTCTGACGTAAAATGCAGATAATGGTACCAGCAGCCCCAGACGCTGACTGTGAGGATTCAGAGACATTGTGCATGCCGGGCACATAGCTCTGCCTGAAACAAACCGGTGCTCAATGGGTGTTAACTGTCGCTGTAATCAGGGAGGGTCAGATCTGCTCCGGGGACTCCAAACCCCGACGTGAATGGAGGAGAGATGACCATAAGGCATCCTGTGTCGGAGATTTTATTTCTCTTGGCTATGCATTCAGCAGGAGTCAGATGAGTATTGGGTTGCCAACAGCTGTAATCAAAAAATGCCACACAGGGGCCAGCATTGTGGTGCAGCAGGTCTAGCCGCCACTTGGGATGCTGGCATCCCATAGCAGCGCTGGTTGGAGTCCCCGCTGCTCTGCTTCTCATACAGCTCCCAGCTGATGCACCTGGGAAAGCAGTAGAAGAAGATGGCCCACGGGCTCTGGTCCCTGCCCCAGTGTGGGAGATCCAGATGGAGAGCTATGCTCCTGGCGTCAGCACTGGCCATTGCAGCCCTCTGGGGACTGAAGCAGTGGATGGAAGACCTCTCTCTCTCTCTCTCTCTCTCTCTTTCTCTCTCTCCCCCCTCTTTTTCCCTCTGCCTTTCAAATAAATAAAAAATAATTTTAAAAATGCCAAGTAAATCTACAATCCTGGCCTCAACTTTATTAGTCATCAAGGAGATGAAAATTAAAACTACAATGAGATGGTACTACATAATCAGAACAGCCAAAGTTAAGAGATTAATAATATTAAGTGTTGGTGAGAACGTAGAACAACTGAAACAAAACAAGCACACAGCCAACACAACACACACACACACATCTACTGAAAGTATAAACTGGTACAACTACTTTGGATTATAGCTTGATATTATAGCCTAAGCTGAAGTTACACAGGAGTTCTCTTGGCTATATCCAATCTAAATACACGCACTAGGCTAAGACTTTAAAAACTTGAGCCACTCTTAGGATAATCTGCTGGTAGAGGGAAGCTATCCCGAACAACATGTACATGAACGAGAGCCCCATAGTGAGCTGGTGCCCAGTCCACAGTCAGCAGATTGGATGGAGCTCCGGATGGGCACCAATTCTGGGAGTTTCAGAGGGACGTGACCGGGAGGTGTGTCAGAGGATGAACCAGCCAGCTAAGGGAAGGCACACCTGGCCTGGATAAGCCGGGGGGGGGGGGGCAGGATGAC